CACGCACGACGCACGCACGCACGCACGCCGCACGAGAGAGAGAGAGATAGAGAGAGAAGAGAGAGAGAGAGAGAGATAGAAGCGAGAGAGAGAAGAAGAAGAGAATGAGAGAGAGAGAGATAGAGAGAGAGAGAGAGGAGAGAGAGAGAGAGAGAGAGAGAAGAGATAGGAGAGAGAAGAGAGAGATAGAGGACAGAGATAGAGAAGAGAGAGAGAGAGAGAGAGATAGAGAGAGAGAGAGAGAGAGAGAGAGATAGAGAGAGCGAGAAGAGAGAGATAGAGAGAGAGATAGATAAGAGAGAGAGAGAGAGAGAGATGATCTCTCTCTCTCTCTCTCTCTCTCTCTCTCTTCTCTCTCTCTCTCTCTCTCTCTCTATATATATATATATATCTATATATATATAATATATATATAAATATATATACATTATATATATCTATATATATATATATATATATATATATATATATATATATGTATCTGTCTATATATATATCTCTCTCTCTCTCTCTCTCTCTCTCCTCTCTCTCTTCTCTCTCTCTTCTCTCTCTCTCCTCTCTCTCTCGTCTCTCTCTCTCTCTCTCTCTCTCTCTCTCTCTCTCTCTCTCTCTCTCTCTCTCTCTCTCTCTCTCTCTTGCGATGACGGTTGATCGAAGAGTGTTCTGAGGCGCGACAGCTCTCACCTAAGAACGGATCCCTTGACGGCCGGCACGAACTCCTCGGGTAGCTCATCCGTGGAGCTCACGTCGAAGCTGACGCTGAAGCATTCCGAACTGGCCACCTGGCGGCAGAGCGCAAACTAAGACGTCACGGCGTCATCGGATGCGCAGCACGCTAAGCGGCAGTGACCACAGTGAGATCTTCTGCTGCGGCTGAGGTGACAGGGCTGCAAGGTGGCGTCGAGAACGCCTTCGTGACTTTAGTCCGGTCTGGGCCCCTGGACGGGATACACCTGTGCGGCTTTAGTCCGGTTTGGGCCCCTGGACGGGATACACCTGTGCAGCTTTAGTCCGGTCTGGGCCCCTGGACGGGATACACCTGTGCAGCTTTAGTCCGGTCTGGGCCCCTGGACGGGATACACCTGTGCAGCTTTATTCCGGTCTGGGCCCCTGGACGGGATACACCTGTGCAGCTTCAGTCCGGTCTGGGCCCCTGGACGGGATACATCTGTGCAGCTTTAGTCCGGTCTGGGCCCCTGGACGGGATACACCTGTGCAGCTTTAGTCCGGTCTGGGCCCCTGGACGGGATACACCTGTGCAGCTTTAGTCCGGTCTGGGCCCCTGGACGGGATACACCTGTGCAGCTTTAGTCCGGTCTGGGCCCCTGGACGGGATACACCTGTGCAGCTTTAGTCCGGTCTGGGCCCCTGGACGGGATACACCTGTGCAGCTTTAGTCCGGTTTGGGCCCCTGGACGGAATGCACCTGCTCGCCTCCCCCGAAATGCTACTCCCGAAAGCTTGCTGTGGCCTTGATGATGCAAATCCATTTCATGATGGCATAGCTGTGTCTAAGCTTTGGGGTTTATAGGGCTGGGCGCGAACTTCAGACAATATGCACCGCTCTCAGGGTGTTCCCAGACGGCACACCGGGTGGGAATAACAGCGGCTAGACCACGCTCGACTTCGTGGCAGGTCAACACCGCTTCACTCCAGTTGCACACAGTCCAGGGGCGCGGCGCAGGGCACTGGACCGGCCCACGGCGACAGCTGGGGCTGATGATCAAACGTTCATAACCGCTACATTCACAGCCATCATTTGCCGGCCCGCACTAGTGCTTCTCAACATTTTACCATGATACCTGTGATAAAGCCATAACGGTTTTTGCCGTGAGATTAGCTATGATCTAGCATTTTGACGGTGCAAACGCAAATGGCGAGCCGCGTCCATTCGTGAAGAAGTCGAATAACGTTTTAATATGACAAGGTTCATGTTTACTTGGTTTGTAAAAAGCGCAACATGAGCAGTTCTCAGGCACCAGCTCGAGCCCGGTGTTTCCTGGCGTATGATTTGTACGTCCTGAGCGAAATATGGCGTCACCGTCTTTAGAAGCACGTTTCTTTGCAAAATATTTGCTGCTTTGCTGCTGCCTTGTTGGCACCTTTTACTAGCCATCGTTTCGTCCGACCCGTTTCACGAACCAAAACGCTTCGAACTATACTTTTTCTTTATGTAAACACTTTGTCTCGATTCCATGGCTGCTGAGGACACACATGCACCTTCTCCCCAGATCCAGTCGGCCCCATGTCCACCACTTCCGGCCGATTTCCTTGCTCCTGGGCGCACGTCTCGCGCCGTTCCGCTCGCCACACTGTGATACCAGTCTGGCAGCGTCCCGTCGCGCCGCGCCCGCCATAATGGTGCTCAGGCCTCATGCCCAGGTCTGCGCCGGGCCGGCGGCGGCGGCTCCCGACGGCACCCACCCGCGGCGCGGGGGCGGGTCGGCGAATTGAGCCGGGCAGGGGTGGCGATGCGGGCGGATTCCCCGCCCACACACCCGCATGCCCATCACGGCCGCAGAGGAGCGCCCGCACCGCTCGGTGCGAGATGACACAGGCCGCGCCGCCGCCGCCGCAATCAGCGGCAATTCCGGTACGATCGACCAGCCGCGTGGCGGCCCTGTTTTGGCGCAGCGGGCCGATTGGTTCGGCACGAGCTGCCGTGGTTCACTCGCCGCCCGACAGGCGATTGGTTCGGCACGAGCTGCCGTGGTTCACTCGCCGCCCGACATGCGATTGGTTCGGCACGAGCTGCCGTGGTTCACTCGCCGCCCGACAGGCGATTGGTTCGGCACGAGCTGCCGTGGTTCACTCGCCGCCCGACAGGCGATTGGTTCGGCGCGAGCTGCCGTGGTTCACTCGCCGCCCGACAGGCGATTGGTTCGGCACGAGCTGCCGTGGTTCACTCGCCGCCCAACAGGCGATTGGTTCGGCACGAGCTGCCGTGGTTCACTCGCCGCCCGACAGGCGATTGGCGGGCCCTGATGCCTGGGCGGTGGCTGGGAGTGGGCCGGCCATCGGCGGCCGCCCGCCGCTGTACGGACGGCTCAGGCTGGTCCAGACAGATGGATAAAGCCCAGCCTCGGCGACGGCACAATAGGGAGACGCGATCACGATTCCCCGAGGCCGCCTCAGCCCGTCTCAGACATGATTGTCGCCATTAATGTTCAGAGTGCTCGTTCCAAGCGATGAATAATCCAGTTGATCGTGTAAAAGCAATGCGCTTTAGGCGTTAGATCTTCCAGGCTTAATGCCGTGCGTAATCAAAGCGAGGTTACGAGACGACGAAAAGGGTTCACACGACCAAAGCCTAGCAGCCGCGACACGCTTAAGAGAAAAAAACAACAATGCAATTTATCATGCAAGTTTTCTTTGCTTACAACATATCAACCTAATGCAAGCACTGTGCCAAGCGTTTGATAAGGCATTTCCTGTACAATCATATCTTCAAACGGCTATGATGTGTAGTTTCGCGCAATCGTTTAAATAACGTAGCAATGCTTGGAACTGACGACACTGGTGGCGCGCCGCACACGCCAGCCTTTCTCACGCTACGAGGTGGCTCTACTGCAACGATCTGGACGAATGTTGCGTGCGACGCAACAACACGTCCACTAATTGCGACTAAACCAATCTAGGTAACTTCCCTTGACGCCGGTTACGATAACGGCAGTACTTGATGTACTGTTTCTTCGTCACGCCTTGCGACCTGTTGTTCACAACGAGCGGCGCCTCATTCCCTCGCCTCACCTCACCTCATCCACGTCCCCCCGTCATCTAGCCCGTCTAGCCAGCCAGAGACCTAACCGAAGATCAGTCCAGCAGCCGCTGGTCGAGGTAGGCCAGCGCCCCGCCGGCGCCGGCGCCGGCGGCGGCGGGGCGGGGGTCCCCCGAGGGTCGTTGGCGGCCACCGGCCGGCTCGCCCGGCTCGCCACCAACGGCCAGCCTGCACCGGCTCGCCACCAACGAGCCAACTTCGCGCGCCGATGCCGCTCGATCGCGGCCAAAATAGTGCGTTCGTGTCGACCTGTGCTGCGCCCGCTGACCCGCGCTCATCGGCTGGCCACAACTCCTCGGCGCCCGATGTCGGGTGGAACGCTTTCGGAGGTGATTTGGGATCGATTACGGGTTGGAGGCTTCGCGCACCATTCGAGCGGTCCTAGTGGACTGAAATACGATGACTGTAAAACTTAGGATGGAGTTTGTAATGTATTGCTGGCCTGGAAAGGACTGTTGGGCATCATTCAGTTTGCAAAATGTCTGCCAGCAAAACAAAGAGCTAAAAACGAATGCTAAAATGCTGTTAATGAGTTGTGCTATTAACACAGCTTGCTCACTCATTTGGCCTTATATTCATCCGAAACGATAACGCTTTTTTTGCTGTAAACCAACCATGGAAACAAGAAGGCTAGTCGGCGAAAATCCACTAAGCTTGAGTCAGTGTCTCTGATTGAGCACTTCCATTCATTACCCGTGCTATAAAAGTCGAGGAAGCCCAGTAGCTGTCCCCACAGAGCACAGTCAGCTACTGATCCCAGGAAGGTCAGAGCCAGAGCCATAGACAGAGACAGAGACAGAGACAGAGACAGAGCCAGAGCCAGAGACAGAGACAGAGACAGAGACAGAGACAGAAACAGAGACAGAGACAAAGAGAGATAGATACCGAGATAAAGAACCGAGACCGAGATATATAGACCGAGATAGAGACAGAGACAGAGACAGAGGCAGAGACAGAGACAGAGACAGAGACAGAGACAGAGACAGCTGCAGAGACAGAGACAGAGACAGAGACAGAGAGAGGGAGAGAGGAGGCATACAATCACACACATGCATATATATATATATATATATATATATATATATATATCATATGGATAAGTAGAAGCAGATGGCCATCTTCCACCCCATGGTCAACCCCCAGCTGCTTCGATTTCTCCATTGTCCTAGTACCTTTGGGTTAAGGATTATGCCACGCACGAAGTTGGCTACGAATATGGATATGAAGTATGCCGTGCTTTCAAAAGGGCAAGATAAAGTGGCGCGGCTCGATTGGCTTCTGTACCACTATGATGCACGTCCGAAATCAGACGTGGTCACGCGTATTTGAGGTAGTACCCCTGCTCATACTTTTATCCGACGTGGGTTACACACAAGAAGACGCGCCGACACGGTATCCAGAACCGTAAACCAAGCTCTCGACGTCTCGCGGGGTCCGTGTGGCGCTCACCTTGTTATGGGCGGCCAGCTTCTTGCGGCGCAGCCCGCCGCCGGGCTCGGCCGGCCTGCCACAGGTGTCCGGCTCCGAGAGCCGGTCACTGTCCTCCTGGTGCACCAGCATGGCCGGGTCCAGGGTGTCAATGTGGGTCAGACTGCGCGACCGGCCCTGCTGGAAAACGGGAGCCAGGTCAGACTGAGGGACCCGCCGCCAGACCGGGACGCAGCAAGGGCACGGGTACACTGGGGAGGCGGAGATATGATCCGTCTGCGCGAGACGAGGCCGCGCTCAGACTGCGGGAGACGGAGGCCAGGTCAGACTGCGGTCAAAGTGCCGGAGAAGGGACGGCGTCAGACTAGCTGACAGAAGATACGCAGCCAGACTGCACGAGATGGAGCGCGGGCACGCTTGGTCACACAGCACATATTCAGATAGGCGCGCGGGCTTATCAATCCGTGTGGCGCCGTACAGGACTGTGCCAAGTCTGCCCTGTGGAATCCTGGCCTTTTACAACCAGCTGCCGACTGAACACTTTATAATGCTTCAGATAAGCGGACCGCTTTCCTCTGCACACAGTCAAATTCAGTGCCTGAGGACACGCATACCGACCCGACCGTGCTCCGTCGGTCACGGTGGCGGTCAGCTTCAGGCCGCCGCTGAGCTCTGGGACTTCAAATAAGAGGCCAAGAGGCTCCAGGACGAAACAGCCGGAGAACTACAAGTGTCACATATTGTCTATTGAATCTGAAATTGCAATACAAAACTTGGAAGTATAACAGAGTAGCGCGGGAAGATTCCTCATCACTCTAACGCAGCCGGTTTCCGCTCTAAGGGCCGGAAAAGGAACCAGCTTGATTAATACGGGCTAGCGGTCATCGAGCAACAAGCTAACGCGGAGAGTTCCATGAACTAGACCCAGGAATGCGCTGCACCAGTGTAGGCGATAGCGCGCAAATGGGGCGGCAGAGTGCGATTCCAGTGAGCTAGCATCCTGTATGTATATTCAGCAACGAGAGATTCGATCGATCACCAGTGCAACCTCTCTCCGAGTGGATATATCACTAGTGGTCAGCCAGCACGGAATGCGCTCTCCCCTGTACCTTCAGCCCGAACCAGCACCCTCATAGCGTGAGGTCACCGCCGATGGCGAACTTATCACACAGCAAGACGTAAGTGACGCGTTCGGCCAAACTTTCCAATCCGGGTCTCGCGATCCGTGTTCGAATCCCGCACAGTGCATAGTCGTTCTACTGGCTTGGGTTGCTGCAATGTCAACAAGCACAAATGTTTGAACGGTTTTATAATAAAACATTGGCAACAGCGCCAACACCATTCGGCGCTGCCCACGGCCAGGTCGGCGCTGAGGCTGCGGTCAGCCATGGCCGGCGCCCGGCGCGGCGTGTTTATGATCCGGAGCAGTCTGGCCGCCGTCGACGGAATATTGCGCACGTCTGACACAACGGTCAACAGCACGCTGGCCAATAGCGCTGATTTGCACGCGGTGCCCAAACAAGCCCAGTATCTGCGGCCGCTGCCAGTCAGAGCAAATGGGCGCCGCACTCTGCCGCCGCGCGATTACAAGCGGCGGAGCGACGCCAGCCGGGTGGTCGGCTGCCGGGTGACGCGGGCGTCTGCTCTCGGCGGCTGCGGCCGGCTCTCGGCCCATGCCCAACGCAGTCGGCAATCCCATGAGAGGACGTCCAGACAGCTGAGCTAGCATAGGCCGGCACTTCATGGAGACACCGACGCAACGGTAGCACTTCAAAATTTGCCCCCCCCCCCTCTCCCGAGTCTGCTGAAGGTCACACTGCAGTACATGAGATCCAATCCTACCGCGGTGTTCAGTATTTGTCATTACTCAGGCGTTGCCTGGTGGGCAACTGCCGATGGATGTACAGAACTGCCCTTCGTCTATTCAGGTCGACAGCCCTATGACATCTCCAGATCTGCCGATGCTGCAGCTGATTGCTGTTTCATTCTGTGACGACAGCTCTCGCCGATTTCTGAGCGGCAGCCATTAATCAAAGGCGATCCAGCTTTTGCCGGTAGAGCCTGAGCTTGGCGCTGACGAGCGGACAGGCAGTGACAGCTGCCGGACAAGCAATAACAGCTGCCGGCGAGTAGAGTGAGTGTCGTAGGGCCACCATGAGCAGACAAGCTGCGACAGCTGCCCTGGAGCAGAGTGGATATCTCAGAGCCACCGTGAGCGAACAAGCAGTGACAGCTGCCGGGGAGTAGCGGGCACACAGAGACAGTTGCCGGAGAGTAGAGTGGGCGTCACAGGGCCACCATCAGCGGCTCGAAGACCACTCAGTGTGGCTCTTGAGCCATAGCACGACGCCTGCTTTCACACACGTGCTGCAACGTCGTTGTTTCGGTTGCCGATGAGTTGACAATGAGTGGCACGATGAAATGTTGGCCGGGGCAGTATCCATATTCACTAATCGTTTTCGCGCGCAACATTTTAAAGCAGTCCCGCTGGAAAACCTGGAAACACGGTACAAGGATACCGATTTTTGTGCAAGTCTTAAACCACCATTCCTGCACATAGGTTTGTCTTATTTAGCCAACTTAACTGCCACAACAATGGCAGGTGAAAACGACCCGAAGCGAGAATATTTAGGTGGTGGTTTCCTCGAGTAATGTTAGCGACAGCTCTTTGCTGGCCCGCAGTTCAGCGTTTAAAAAGCGTCAGACGAGATGGGATTGCGAGCGCGCTGAAACGGTAGGCTCGGTCAGCATTCACCACCTCAATGGGTGCCCCTGGCGGCCGCACTCAGAGGCTGACAGTCTCAGGCTCGGGCTCTCGAGCAGGGCCACTCGGCTGCAACTGCTAAAGGAGGTAAGCGTCTGAATTGCAGCCAAGCTGAACTGATAGCTCGTCGAATTGACTGCGTGCTGGATGTAGAGGGTTGTTATGCTAATGAGCAACTTAATTGCATAACACCCGAAGGTATTGAGCTGCGTTCGGTAATTTGTAGATGTTGATAGGTCATGGTCGATGAGGAACAAACCATGCATTCCTGCCCTTAACCATCTAGTTCCTCTGTATGTGTATATTCGAAGAATGCTGTGGCGACACACCTAAATAATGACAAAATGGTATAACATAGCGTGACAGATAACATATTTTGGGCCCATTGTGTTAAGCTCGTTCATTTGTTTACCCATTGCAGATAATGACCACTAGCTATCATAGAACTCGTTGCTCGGCCATGGGAATGAAAGATATTTCTAAGCAACGTACATTGGTTCTGAACAAATTCTCAGGCACTGCAAACTCGGTATTGTCGATCATAATTTACGAGAGTCATATGTTTAAGCGGAGAAAAAATATTCCGACTTAACATTTTATCATTCATCCCCAAAATATATAAACAGTCCAGTTTCTTTCTACGACTCCCAATTTAAATGTCCGCATAAAAGACGCAATAGCTCTTTTGATCCTAGTAGATGAAAATGGCATATACAAGCAACCACGCCGGCTGCTTAAATTGATATTATATATATATATATAGATAGATACCTTTCCGGATTTCCAAAAAGTTATTAGTATTTGTCACCGACTTGCTCAGACACCTCATGGACTCAAGCATTTGATGAAAATCGTTCTTTTGCAAGTAAACTATTAAGGTCAGCACCAGTAAGCCGGAATGCGCGTTTAAAGTTCTGTTAGACTTTCAGGATCCACGATAACGTCTTACAACGCTCCGCAATACATACGCTGTTTGTACTTCTATGGCTGCTGTTGAACTGAACAACACAAAAATGTGCGGATTTATCACTTTGCTAACCATACTCCGCCCAAGTTAATAAAAAAACCTGTGGTGTATTCTATATTGGTTCTTTTTATATTACATATGTGCTTTATTTTAAAACATGGTTCTTTTTACAAGGGCACCTCGCAAAATTTGCATAGTAATCAAGCTTTTCAGGTAGCACTTTGGCGCATATCAATACCCTACTACCTGTTACTGCTTGCCCGAATCATTCTTTTTAAGTCCTGAGCCTTTCGTGTCACAGTTTGATCCTTCGCGAAGAAGCCAAACAAAAATTCTTCAAGTGGCTGTAGACGACTATTTCCTTTAAACGACTGCGAACTATAAGCGACTATTGAGAAATGTCAAGGCATAGGAAACAAGATAAATGCAAGGCGATATCTCAGAATGGAGTGCTCTGGTTCCAGTCATACTTTCACCGTCACGGCGCTCTTCGTTATAGAGGCAGTCTTGGCCTCACCCCCACGGGCTTGTCGGCTCAGATGTAACAATATGGAAAATAAACCATATAAAATGGTTGGTCGCACCCAGAAGCAACATTACTGTAACTGCATCAAACCCGCGGAAAAGCTGTCTTTATCTGAATGCGTAAAACTGAGGCACACGGACCTTCACTCATTCGACATCTTTCTTTCGGCGAGCAGTTTTGTCTTTGTGCTGTAATAATTCATCGAAATTATAATTATAGCAATTGGCCACTTACGACGAGCATGCCCAGTTTAGGTGCTCTCAGAATGCCACCATTTAAATGAGTATGTTTCTGGTGAAAAATAAGGTTCCACATTTTTTTCTGATGGTCAGATTCTTTTCAGTAAACACAAACCCACAAGACACTTCAAAACAAAATACCATAAAATAATGGCTGGCTGTGCAAGGCATGGCATTATGAGGATCATTGACAAGGAGGGCCAATCTGATGTCAATAATGCGATTTTGAACAAAGGCGCAAGTCAATATTCATTCAAGAATTACATCAAGGAACCAATGCAGCATTGTAAAAGGATCTCGAGTTGCAAGTACGAGACTGCGAACGCAACTGGCACAGGGTACGGAACATGCCGCTATGCATTCGATGGTGTCACGTAACGGGACTATTCTGGGGCTATCGGAAGTGCCAACATTTTTTCATTTTAAAAAAGCACTCCATTTCAGACCTCATCGTGTCGCGTGGTGGGACTGTTCACGCGTTGGGTAAAGTAGAGCTTGCGATTTCATCCTGAGATTGCTGCATGTAAATGACGCGGTCAGCAATTTCGACGAGGGTTTCTAATAAGCGGATATTGCTCACTGCAGGTGAAGGTGTTCAATGTCAGGCCAGTTTATTTCTCCCGCTTTCCGAATCACACTTGGCACATGATTGAAACACGCAGCACTTGACTTCGCTGAAAAGAG